ACTGGCAGACCATTTATTAAGAGGTTTAAAGAACACCTTCCCAAAAATAGTTTAACACAACAATCCAATTTTGCCGAACACCTAATTGACAGCAATCACAGTTATTCCAGCCTGAATGAAAATTTAAAACCTTTACACATTTGTAGAAAAAGTCGAGTAATGACATCACTAGAGCAATATGAAATTTATAGAGCATCTAAAACAACCCCCCACAACCTCCTGAATGATAAAAGTACACTACAATCCAACATATTATTCGAAGCATTGTTAAAGTTGAATGAAACGCCACCTGTAGCTACAAAGGACAGAGACAGGACAAAGGTCAACTCTGCAAGTAACGTCTGACCCCAGTCGAGACTCGACACACGACCGACGCGCGTCTACATGTCCGTAATAGCTCAAATAAAAGTAGGCCTACCGTGTTTTATGTTTTATTCGTAATGTATCTAAGTGTAATATCGTTCGTGTACGTGTTTCAAAACTTCAAGACGCACCCAATGGGGAAGAACAAGGACTTATATTAGGACTGATGATGGCAGTTTATTCTGCCGAAATGCATATCCTGTAATAGGACACAGCACAAGGATCGACTGGCGGACACAGGTAATTTAACCTTTTATTGTATGTCTTACCGATCCGGAACAACAACAACATAAAATAAAATTTCCTACTATTTACCATCAAGCATTTCTTGAAAATACTCAATAAAGGCAGCCTAAAGTTGGCTACAAATTTAAACTTGGAAATATAAACTTGGAAAAAAATAGTTTTAAATGTATTATTGTTTATTTTTATTTTTTCACCTCAAATCTATTAGTATATGATTAAAGTGATACAATCAAATTTTATGTAAACGGTTAAGGTCATTTGCCCAATAAAAATATGGGCATATGGCACATCAAAATGAAGCTTAGAGTGTGTAGATTTGCCGAAAAGTATTGATATGGACAAATTTCCTAAGGGCTCTGCCCCACAGGCTCATTTCCAAAGTTTTACGCCTGGCATGCTTCCAAAGAAATTATTTAATTTAGTTAATGAAACAGCTGGTCAGTAAAATGAACTGGTGTTTGTTTATTTTCTCGAAAAAATATGTTTGTGACGCTTTATGTAGATTGAGGAGGGTTATGTTTGGTTTTAAAGAAAGGTTGTATACGTTTTGTAAAGTATTGCTCAACGTTTCATTTTGTAATTTATACAGTAAGCTACATGTAAAGAAGCTTGGCTAAAATTGAAGAATTATGATAAAACATGTCATTCATGAAGCATCAATATGAAGCAATTGATGCTATTGCTACACTAAGGTATGTTGTCATATTCTTTTGGATCTATTAACATCAAAAGTAGGGGTTTGAAAGTAATTAGGTTTAAACTTTTAAATCATAGAGTTGGTGTATTTTAAAATACACATAAGCACAACTTTTCTTCCCGTTGCAAAGCACGGGTAAAGCAGCTTGTATCTAATAAAAATCAAACTTTCATAATTATTTGCTGGCAAATCTACACAAATTAAGCTTTCCAGCGACCCATTAAGTAACAAAATCGGTCCGGTAGAAGTCTAGATTTAGTTGTACAAAGTTTAACAAAAATATATCTAATTCAGTATTTTCTCACCACTATAAATTTGGAGATCACTTAGCTTATTGCCAATAACTTTTAAATGAAGGAAAAATCGACCAAAGTCGATGTGACATTCTGAAAGAGAATAAAATTTACTACAAATAACTACTATGCATTTCTTGAAAATACTTAATAAAGGCAGCCAAAAGTTTCCTACAAATAGAATCATAAAAACAGATACTTGAAAAAGCAGTTTTTAATGTATTTTTCTTATTTTTACTTTTTTGCCACAAATAAAATTAATAAAATCACAATTTTATAATTATTTGCAAATCTACATGAGTTAGGCTTTCCTATGACCCATTAATTAACAAAATCGGTCCAGTAGAAGTCTAGATTTAGTTGTACAAAGTTTAACAAAAATATCCCAAACTCAATATTTTCTCATTACAGTAGACTCTTGATAATTCGAAATTGGCGGGCCAAGCACATAAATTTGAATTATCAAGAGTTTTGAATTATCAAGAGTTTGATTTATCCGGAGAAAAATAAACCATTCGAATTACAGAGAGTTCATTTGTTTATTACATACAGTACAAAGTTATACATTGCATGTTACAATATAACATCATACAGTACAGTATTTTAGTACACCTTTAAACAATCAACGGCTTATTTTTCAGTTACTGTACTGTAGTTGCAAAGAAATCTGTTATTTTTGTTTGTTTTTTGCAATTGATTCTTGCTTCGTCGATAACATTGCCAAGGACAAAGAGTGCGTCGAACACTTGTGGACCAACTTGATTCTGTAAAGAAAGAAACCTATTGTAAAATGCCATTCTAGTTAAACAGTACAATGTACAGTAGGCCTACTGTATAACACTTACATACTGTACGTACCTGGAGCGAAAAATGGCGGAGTTTCTCTAGAGCCGTACAGGCTTCCTTCAACGTAACTGGTTCGCACTCCTGATCGTCGTCATCGTCAGTTGGATCTTCAGGTTCTTGTAAATTCAAGATGTCAGAATCAGTTAGGGCTCCAAACACAGCAACTTCATCATCGACTAGGACGAATTCCTCAAATGGAACCTCCCCTATCACTGGATGATTTTCCCAAGGTGTAGGTGGCACAGGTTGAAGTTCATCATTCACTTGTGTGTTGATAGAAAATCCAGATTTCCAAAAGCAGTTGGATACTGTAGATGGCACTACACTTTTCCAAGCCTTTTCAACCATCAACATAGCAGTTAAGATAGAGATGTTAGGGTTTACGTTGTTTTCATCTAAAACAATCTTTACTACTTCATGGTGGTAAAATGTCTTGAAGTTTTGTATAATGCCTTGGTCCAGTGGCTGCAGTTTTGATGTTGTGTTTCGTGGAAAAAATTGGAGCTTCACGTTGGACAATTTAGGAGGATTATTATGGACTGAACAGTTGTCAAGAAACAAGATTATCTTTCGATTTTGGCGTTTCATATCATTGTTCAATGATGATAACCACTCATTAAACAAATCAGTTGTCATCCAAGCCTTTTTGTTTGAACGATAGGTTACAGGGAACGACTGGATACCTTTAAAACACCTAGGCTTTGCAGCTTTTCCGATGAGTAGAGGTTTTAAGTTTAACTTTTCAGAGCCATCCATATTTACTGTTAATAAAAGCGTCAATCTGTCTTTGCTATGTTTCCCACCATGACATTTTTTGTCTTTGAACATGAATGTTTTGTCAGGCAAGCATTTGAAAAAAAGGCCTGTTTTATCAGTATTAAAAATGTCATGAGGCTCATAACCCTCAGTTAGTTTAGACAACTCTGCTCGCCAATCAGCACACACATTGTCATTTACGCTTGCGCTTTCACCACAAACTTTTTTAAAAAAGATTCCATTCCTTTTTTTAAAATTTGTCAACCACCCTTCACTGGCCGCAAAGCTGGGAATGTTAAGTTCCTTTGCATACGCTTTGGCCTTTTCTTTCAAAATCAAACCTCCTATAGGTACATTTTGATTTCTGCACTCTCTCAACCAAGTAACTGAACACTCTTCTAGCCTAGGATATTCACCTCTTGTCGTTCTTTTCCTCCCCGCAACCGCATTAACTCCAAAAAGTTTGTCCTTATTTTTTAAAATGGTAGACAATGTACTAGGAGGGATTTTAAACTTTTTGGCAACTTCGGACTTCACTTCACCACTTTCTACTGCCGCGATAACTTCTTTTTTTTCCTTGATCGAAAGAGATTTGTACTTATTCCTAGGTTCCATGATGCACAACGCCGCACACGCACAAGACTACACTTAAAAAACTACAAAAGTACAGCAGGTTTAAAAGCAAACACAGTCAACCAGACTACTGCTCTAACTAAACAAACATCAAAACGTCCAAAACTACCGTGAGAACAGGATGTACTGTACTGTATAGTTTCCTGTTATGACAGGAAGAGATCACTTCGAATTATAGAGTGTTTTGCCGACTAAACTTCGAATTACTGCGTGACTTCGATTTATAGAGTGTTTTTTTGACGAAACTTCAAATTACAGCGTGACTTCGAATTATAGAGTGTTTTCCGACGAAACTTCGAATTACTGAGTTACTTCGAATTATAGAGTGTTTTTCCGACGAAACTTCGAATTACTGCGTGTTCCAAATTGACCTGCCCTCTATTTGGACTTTGAAATACCGAGTGTATCAAAATGCATGGTAAAAATTCGAAATATTGAGAGATTCTCTAGGGACTGAGCCTTCATTTCGAATTATCAAAAGTTTCGATTTATCGAGTGTTTGAATTAGCAAGAGTGGACTGTACTATAAATTCGGAGGTTGCTTAGCTTTTTTGCAAATAACTTTTAAATGGTGAGGAAATCTACCAAAGTAGATGGTGATATTCTGAAAGAGAATAAAATTTCCTACAAATTGATACCATGCACTTCTTGGAAATACTCAAAAAGGCAGCCAACAGTCGCACCCAAAGAAAAAAAGTGAAAAACACCGTTTTCAATGTATTTCTTATGGGAAACATGTTTTTTTTAAATTTTTCACCATAAATCATAACAAAAACAAACTTTCATAATTATTTGCAAATCTACACGACTTGAGCTTTCCAACGACCCATTAATTAATAAAATCGGTTCAGTAGAACTCTAGATTTAGTTGTACATAGATTTTTAAAACTGAATTATATATAGAATAGATTCAACACTCACCTTGGCCTTGAAATATAGGTCCTGTTGTGTTGGCGTTGTACTTAGATCTAATCTGTAACAGTTATATAATAACATATTCTTTGATTAAATTATGTCATTAGAGTTTAAATTAGCTTGAAATGCCAAAAATCACCACACTTCTGGAATTATTTTTAATAATCACATAGATATCGTAATGAAGATTTGTTTTTTTTCTCAATGCCAATAACTAATCATTCTATGCATATTTTAACCTTGTGTTGAAGGGGTCTAGAAAGCTGAAGCTGAGTGAGAGCATAGCCAGCAGTCTGGGGTCCAATCTAAACCGTGCTGGGGGAGCTCAGGACCTCACCAAGATGCTGCTCACTGACGACTACTTCAGCGATGTCAACCCTCGCAGCATGCGCAGACTCATGAATGTTGTCTACATCACAGGTATACATCTGTATGATATCAAAGGTATGAACTCTTCACTATTTTGAATGGGCTTACGTGATGAAAATCCAATTCACCCGATAGACTTGTAAATTATATATAGCTAGCTGGGTAAAGATCATGAGCAGTGACCGTTCCGCACGTCGTGGCTGATACTGACTATATTGACACTGAGCTAGATTGTGAACGAAGACAGTAACTGAAGCAATGAAGTTGTTACGAATAAACTGACAAAAAACAATGAGTACTCAGTGAAAGTAGGCAATAACAACATTTTATTTGAACCATTTAACTAACATCTTCTTTAAAAGGCAACACACACTCTACTCTTTTGTTTACATTCTCTCCTTTAAATTAATAACATGTGTTTTAATTATTAGTAAGCATACAATTTTAACAATGACAACAGCTGGCAATTTAAAACCAGTAAGTTAAACCATCGACTATAGGTTAAATCAACACAGCATATATAACATCCTCCCACCCAAGTTAATTAACTTATGGTTGATTAACTTGTACTTTGGATCGTGTACTTCTTCTTGTAACTACTTTTCTCTCTTCATTAGAGTTTATTTCCAATGGGTATAAACGTTGTACTGGGCGAATCAATTCATTGGTTGGTGTCTTCAATCTTACTGTGCGTACAATTCCATCACTTCCTTTCATTACTGCAATAATTCTGGCAATCACCCAGTTTATCCGCTTGTCAAAGTCATTACCTATGAGTACTATTTCCCCCACTTCAGGTTCTCGGTAACTTTTGACATTATTATGGTGTGATAATTGACCAAGATACTCGATTCTGAATCTTGACTTCAGTCCTTCTCTTATTTTCTTTCTGTATACAGCTTTCTTCGGTAAATTGATCTCCTCAATAGCGTCTAAGTCGGGTTGTCTCACATCGCTTATATCTTTCAGAAACATTGATGGAGTAATGGGACTCAATTCATTCAGATCATCTGACATGTAAGTAAGTGGTTGAACATTGAAAACACTTTCAAATTCACTTAATTTACTTGACATTTCTTCATAGTTCAAACTAGTTTTCTTCAAAACTCTTCTTGGAGGATGTTGATTGTTTGACTCCCACCCTTTAACATTTGCTGAAGCACCAAATACGTGTCTCACTGGTGTAGTCGCATTGTCCTTGAGAACTGTTCTATGTGGCATGAACTGCTTGATATGATCTACCTCGTTACTGGGAACTGATTCGATGAATCCTTCATTCTGCCAACTTCTAAAAACTTGTTGATACTTATTGAAATGACCACAATTTGTAGTCTTATCGGTTCTTGATTGAAGTAGTTTCTTTGACAGTTCCAAGTTATTAGGATGTATGTTACAATCCTCAACCAAACACACTTCATGACAAACTTCTTTGTTATCACTCTTCACCGTATTCTTAAAATGTTCTGGTGTCATCTCGTGCAGCTCTTCTTTTGACTCTTGTTTAACGGGATCAGTAATACCAAGTGTCTCTAATTTCCTGAACATCGAAATATCCCCAGAAGGATCACTAAAAGAAAACATACTAACACATGATGTATTGCATTCTGTCTTACTGTTATCAGTTTCCACAACACTAGATAAGCGACCCATTAATGTCCAGCCTAGAAAGGTTTCCATTGCGACAAGTCCACTATTCAGCTGAACTTTGTTACCTGTGAACAACTTACCAGCAACATCTGCACCAATTAATACTTCAATATTTGCATCTGATTCAGCCACATCCGAAAGAACAATGTTAGCAGCTTCTATTTCCTTAAGTTCTGGACCTCTCCTAATACTAGGGATATTTTCGCTTATAAGAGGTTGATCTAAAACCTTGAACCTACACTTATAGTCATTATTCCTATTGGCAAGAATGATTTTAAACGTGTTATGTGAAACAACATCTGTCTTAACACCTCCAAAAAGTGAATGAGTTAAACTCTCTTGTCCCTCGGGATACATACCAATTTCAGATGCTGTGGACTCAAGAATATAAGATCTCATCGAACCTGTATCAATTAAGGCTCTAACAGGACGAATCAAACCTTCATGGATCAGATTGACCCTCAATGTCTGCAGATAATTCTGTAATTTTGTTTGTTGTCCTAAGTTAGATAGATCTTTGACCTCATCACCGGTACTGCTGTTTGATTTTTCTTGCAATCCTTTTTCCTTATTACACATCAAAGTAGGGTGTTTGCGGTAACAAATACTACATTTTAAAGGACGTCTACAAAATTTGGATTTATGTCCCTGAAATAGACATGTAAAACACGCCTTTTTATCCGAAACTATTTGTCTTTTTTTACTGAAATCCATTTTCTTTGCCTGAAGACAATCTGCACTTTTGTGAGCTTCTGAGCAGAATATACAATTTAACTCTTTTGACCTGTTAGTCAAGCAAGATGCTGAAGGCATATTGTTTGAAGTTTTATCAATATTACTTCTAGGGCTTACCCTCTTACTCGTACGTAACCAGTCTTAGCCAAAATGATTCTTTCTTCACCTTCGACTTCTGATTTGATGAACTGCCGCAATCTCTTCAATGTCTGCTCTTCTGTTTCTGATGATTCTTTATTTTCTCCATCTGAAGACAAACTGCATCTCTGCCAAGCTCTAAGAAGATCGTCTGGTAAGCAGGACTCTACTAAAGGCAACAAAACACAAGCACATTTATCTGTTGTTACCTCTAAGCTTTCCAAGGCTCGTAGTTGACATTCTAATTTGTTGTAAAACTGCATCAGAGACAAACTATGTTCTGTGTTTTTCAGTACCAAAGCTAGCAGCTCCCTAACATACACTTGTACTAGAAGTCTGTCCCAAATCTACCTTTAAGCTCCTCTAGAGCCTTAGGATAATTATCTGCGGTTGGTGGAAAACTCTTTATTACTTCATATGCTCTAGACCTAGGAATCATACTTTGTAACAAGTATTGGAACTTTTCTGCAGCATTTAAGGTCGGTTCCCTATCTATTGTTTGAAAAAGACTCCAGAAATGTAGCCAGTCCTTTGGATCTCCACTAAATTTGATCAATTCAACTTTTGGAAGTCTCACTGTGTTCTGCTTAGGTACTAAAGTAGTGTTGTTACTTACAGAATCGCTGAGAGAACGAGCTTCATCTTCTAGTCTGTTACTTACTCTCAACTTGTATTTGATTGATTCAAAAGTCTCCTTATATTCATCCTGTTTTGCAAGTTCGGCTTCAATTTCTTCATCAGTACTTTCTTCAAGCATTAAATTGAATACTTCTTTATCAATTTCATGTAACTCATTATATCTTTTTTCTATTACGCCATAAAGAGCATTAGCTCTATCAAATTCATCTTGACAAACTTCGATACTGTTCTACTAAATGTACTTCTCAAAACTTTCCTTCTTTTTAACAAGGCATCCATGGTTCAAATAAAATCTATACTTTTCGAACAAATAAATTACTTCCAATGCCAACACGTTGGACGCCACAATGTTACGAATAAACTGACAAAAAACAATGAGTACTCAGTGAAAGTAGGCAATAACAACATTTTATTTGAACCATTTAACAAACATCTTCTTTAAAAGGCAACATACACTCTACTCTTTTGTTTGCATTCTCTCCTTTAAATTAATAACATGTGTTTTAATTATTAGTAAGCATACAATATTAACATTGACAACAGCTGGCAATTTAACACCAGTAAGTTAAAACATTGACTATTAGGTTAAACCAACACAGCATATATAACAGAAGTGAAATGGCATTAGGTGACAGAAATAACAGGTTACTGTCACCTATTACCAACCAGTCACAGAATGGTGGACAGTGTTATAGAAAAGTAGTTGTATTTTCCATCCCTATGTTGAAGGCGTTCCAGATAGACTTCAACTGGTACCACATAGCCAGCTAGGTGAACATCACTGAACAGTAGCCGTTCCGCACTTCGTGACTGATACTGAGCTAGATTGTATGTTTGTGTTACAGGTAGACTGTTGAAGGCGTTCCAGATAGACTTCAACCGGTACCACCTAGCCAGCTGGGTGAACATCACTGAACAGTAGCCGTTCCGCACTTCTTGGCTGATACTGAGCTAGATTGTATGTTTGTGTTGCAGGTAGACTGTTGAAGGCGTTCCAGATAGACTTCAACTGGTACCACCTAACCAGCTGGGTGAACATCACTGAGCAGTGGCCGTTCCGCACTTCTTGACTGATACTGAGCTAGATTGTATGTTTGTGTTGCAGGTAGACTGTTGAAGGCGTTCCAGATAGACTTCAACTGGTACCACCTAGCCAGCTGGGTGAACATCACTAAGCAGTGGCCGTTCCGCACTTCTTGACTGATACTGAGCTAGATTGTATGTTTGTGTTGCAGGTAGACTGTTGAAGGCGTTCCAGATAGACTTCAACTGGTACCACCTAGCCAGCTGGGTGAACATCACTGAGCAGTAGCCGTTCCGCACTTCGTGACTGATACTGAGCTAGATTGTATGTTTGTGTTGCAGGTAGACTGTTGAAGGCGTTCCAGATAGACTTCAACTGGTACCACCTAGCCAGCTGGGTGAACATGACTGAGCAGTAGCCGTTCCGCACTTCTTGACTGATACTGAGCTAGATTGTATGTTTGTGTTGCAGGTAGACTGTTGAAGGCGTTCCAGATAGACTTCAACTGGTACCACCTAGCCAGCTGGGTGAACATCACTGAGCAGTGGCCGTTCCGCACTTCTTGGCTGATACTGACTCATGATGCTGCTGAAGATGCACTGGATGATAACACTTCACTCAAGACTCTATATGACAAGTAAACAACGCTCTTCATAAATAATCATGTTTCATTTGAAACCTTTTTCAGACATTTTTATGAAACTATTTTATTTTACCTAATTAAATCAGTATTTAAAAATATAAGTTGATATGTATCTACTGTGGTTTTTGGCTTTAATTTTAGCAAATTTACAAAATGCCACATGTTAATAATTGTTTAAACTTGACTTTAATAAGCTTGTTACAAAATATGTATACAATAGAAGTTATAGCTTATTACTTGCCAAATTATTTCATACACAATAAGCTTCGGTTGGTGTGCTAGGACTACGAGTCCACCTCTCTCACAAAACCATACTATTAAAACTTTTACGCTAGTCACCATAATTTTTGTGTATCATTTACTTTTGTTAATTACTTACAAATAGGGGTCTGCGGTGCACCGAAAAAGTCGGTTCGGTACGGTACAGGACTAAGTACCGACGTCGGTTCGGGACAACATTTTTTTCGGTTCAAATTCGGTTCGGTACAGATTACAATAATACATTAGATTTAATTAACTATCACAGTCAAAGGTAGTTTTACTCAAGTCGAACAGTAAACGCAAATTAATGAGGCAAGCAAGATTGTGCAATAGATTATTCGTCACCTAACAATGTGAGCAGACGGCGCGACGTAATGTCCTGAGCAGTTGTAATGGGTTATTAATTGCATTTTGAATATAAATAAATTCGTACTATTATTATATATGTTGTTTCATTATATCCCCTTGTCCCTTTATTGTGTTTTCATATGAATTACAGCATCTTCAGGACAAGAAAGAAAAGATAAAATACATACAATGAGAATGACACGGATAAACAGTTGGTGAGCTACAACAGGCGACTGCCTAACACAATAGTCAAGCTGTCGACAGTCAGCTGCGAGCGTGAGAGCATCTGTATGTAGAAAGGCCGCGCATGCGCACTAATATGAAAATCAGCTGGTAGATACGCCATCTACTGTTTGTAGAAATGCCGAGTAAACGAAGCGAATACCAAGTCAACACTCAGGCTCAATATCAAGTATGAATATCAAGGATTCAGGATGAATATCAAGTATGCTCAGGGCAATATAGCAAAGCGCACTTGGGACGTTTTTCCCGTAAGAATAAGATGGGGATCATTTTCAGCCACTTTTTCAAAAACCCTGATCTTTCCCTGAACATTTCTTCTTTCCCCACATATATTTTCTACCCATATAATGTTAATTTTTTTTTTACTTTTTGATTTTTTTTATGTTGTTATATTGTTTATCATCAAAAGTTGACACCCACGTAGTGTGCCAGAATTTCAACCGTTTTGCCGTATCTCAAGCCGTTTTCGAGATATAAGCATTTTTTAACAGTTTTATGGATTTTGAGGTGTGAAAATATGTCAAAAAGTCTGGACTTTGAAAATGTTTGAGGTTCATTGTGTGTGTGAATTCACTTGTGCTAAAATTTCGAGAATAGGCTACTACAACTAATCTTCAAGAATAACTGGTAATATTGTGTTGAATAAAATTTAAAAAAAAGACATTATCACCAAATGAATTTTAATTTCATTGTTCCGTCCCGTGCCACTAGGAACGTGATTTGTAAACATTTTGTTTCTTTTTATTTCAGTTACTTAAACATCGTTTGACCAAATTAAACCATCCTATTAATTTTAAATAACACTTCCCCTCGTCATATGATATCAAACAAAACGGTAAAGCAGAAATCATAAATAGCGCCCAGTGTCACCAACATCAACTAGACATGAAAAACGAGCTTCACATTTGAGAATGGGATAAGAAGTCTACTCGTTTTTGTTGGTCTATGACAGTATTCAGGACTGTTTCATTCGTCATCGTCGTGATCCATTTTGTTTTGATTCATATTCCCTGGAGTTTTAACTTGTACATTTCTTTGACAATATGTATAATGAATATAGTACGATGTAATTTAATGTACAACAGTATAAGCTAAATAGTATCATTGCAGATATTAAACGAAATTAAAAATTGTACTGCTATGGACTATACTCAAGGTTATGTATTTATCCTCTATGTGACTTCTGCCTACTGTCGCCTCCAGTCTGTCATTTGCTAAAAAAAAATTTGAATATTGGATAAAAGTGAATGTGATCAGCTGACAAAAACAAACTACGACTCCGACTCCGATTAGTCTTCGTGATGATAACAGATATGTACGGATTGCACCATTGTTGCGTTTTTAAAAGTTCCAAAGACACATTCGTTATTTGAAATTAATTAAGCCTACACTTATCAGTTAACCAGTTGTAATATTATTATTGTTTGTAAATGAATGACATTGACGATCCTCCATCGCCTCCAACCAGGTATCAGGTACTTCTGCTGCAAGTGAGGACGTTCCTAGAGCTTCTACTTCTAGGCATATAACTGAACCGTCTAAAGGTAAGGCGTCCATTCGGAAATATTACTCAATAGTTGACCAAGTTAATTTGAAATGTTTAAGCTGTAACAAAGTGATAAAATGTCTATATGGCTCTACTAGTGGTATGCGGAAACATTTGGAAAGAGCTCATCCTTCAACCTTCGTGAAATTCTCTAGTGAGGAAAAGGACTTACAGAAAAAGAAAAGTGAATCATTCACTCTTGTAAATAAGGAGATACCTTCACCTAAAGTGGCTAAAATTGACACCTTTTTCAAATCAAAAGAAAAATATGGTCCACAGCATCCAAAAAATATAATGCTAAGAAATGCTGTAACAAAGTGGGTCGCCGAGGGACTTCATCCCTTTACAATCACCGAAGAGCCTGGTCTAAGGGAAATAATAAGTATTGCTGATCCTAAATTAACTATTCCGTCTTCAACCACAGTCTCGAGAACACTGATGCCTCAGATGTACTCAGAAACCAAAAATAAATTAATGGCATTAATTTCTGAGGAAAACTTAACATCAATATCAGTGACAACAGATATGTGGACATCGCAATCCACCTTGTCCTTTTTAGCTGTCACAGCCCATTTCATGGATCAAGGTCCGCAAATGAAAAGTTTTTGTTTGGCTTGTGTTCCTGTTCCCGAGAACCACACTGGGGAAAATATTGCTCAATATTTGAATGAAACTTTAACAGAGTGGGGCTTAGGTAAAGTTCAAAACAAATACTGCGTTACTGACAATGCGCGGAACATGAAAACAGCCATCGAAAATACTGGCATGGAGCATTTGTTGTGTTTTGCCCACACATTGAATTTGGTCATAAAAGATGTCAAGAAAAACCTTAGTGGTTTTGAGGCTCTTATCAAGAAATGTAGAGCCATTGTGGGCCATTTTAAACACAGCCCCACAGCAAAGGCTGCGCTACATATGAAGCAGGATCAGCTAGGACAAGCGAAGCTAGAGCTGATCCAAGACGTGGAAACTCGCTGGAATAGCGAGTATTTGATGATGGAGAGACTTTTAAAAGTCAGAGAGCCTCTGTGTTTGGTTCTCTCAAGACCAGAGTGCCGGGTTGACAACCTTTCCTCGAATGATTGGGGCATGGTAGAGGGATACGTGGAAATCTTAAAACCATTGTTTGACACAACGTGTGAAGTATCCTCGGATAAGAAACCCACACGAAGCATGGTCATTCCTCTGATCAATGGCTTGAAAAGCGGTTTGCAATGGGACCATTGACAAAAAAAAAGTAGTGGAATTATGTTAGCAAAAGCTTTATTACAGGCAATGTCAGCCAGATTCCCAATGTTTGATCAAGTGCTACCGGATCAGCTATGCATGTTAATGGACCCAAGATTTAAGGATTCGGTTTTAGATTCCTGTGTTAAAAATGCGGCCAGGGAAACCATCAAAATGGAACTTAGAACAAATGATGCCACACAAATTCCCTCCGGACAATCAACAAAGAATGATGATTTATCATCAAGAAATCTCTCAAGTGTTTGGGCAGCCTTCTTAAATGTTGCAAAGCAAGCAGAGAACACTGGTCAAAGTCTTCACCAGGATCAAGCGCAAGGTAATTTTATTTCATTAGCATTGCTAACGAGAACTTATAATTTTCATTGTGTACCTTAGGAGGCTAGCTGTAGCCTTGAAAGTTAATAAAATACTGTACATGCTAACTCACAAAAAATTAAATTATTAAACTTTAGGCACAGAGCTTTCATAACTTTGTAACTTACCTTGCGTTATATCTTGATTGATTCATAGGGTACTTGCATTTTCTAACTAAACTAACTTAACTAAAGTAATCTAGCTTATTAAACTAAAAAATAACATTTTATTTTGCTTTGATGTAGTAAAATAAATATTTTAGGGCCTATTGAAATTAAAATTAAAATACAAAAACTTCAATTTGTACTTAGCGTATACTAGCCTTGTTTAGGCCTACAAACAATTTCCTTATTTTAGTTTGCCAGTATGTTTGTTTAATGTTTATAAAACAAATTTTTCTGAAAATTAATCTACATTATTTTTCCAGGTTGTATTCAACTTGAAACATATTTCTCTGAGCCTTGCATACCAATCTTGGAAGATCCATTTGGTGGGCAGACAACTCAGTGAGGTTCTCAAAACTAATCCCGATTGTTAAAAAATACCTGCCAATACCTGCAACTGAAGTTTCATCGGAAAGAGTGTTTTCTTCTGCCGGTAATATAATTACCAGTCGCCGTCGAAGGCTCCTTCCTGCTAACGCCAAAAAACTCATATTTCTACATGAGAATTTGAAATATGTGTAAAATGACTTTTCCCTTCGTAAGACTGTATATTTTTTCAGAATTTGCCCCTTCATCCAATGGTCTCACAGACAATTATGATCTCATATTGAGACTGAAATAGGTTAAAATATTCTGCCTACAGTTTAATTTTAAAAATGGTATGAATATATACAGTACAATACAATTTTAGGCCCAACCCTGATTAGTGATTTGATAAGGCCTAGTGGAATAGTGATATATTCAAAATCAAATCATCGAACCGTATATATCTGTGTACCCTATACTATGGTTGTGATCCAGACTGATTTTATAGTTGTAATCTATCATTAGACTGATTCTATGGTTGTGATCTACTGTATTGTTAGACTGATTTTTTATTGCATTTTAGACCTATATATTTTGTTGAAGTGTTAATTTTTTATTTGCATAGCGGTTAATTCTGTTTGTGATATATCATTTATCATTAGATTTTTCCTGCTTAACTTATTTTGTTTGATAATTTTACAGATGCTTCTCCTCATTTAGAATGGTAGACTATGGTTAATGGTTACATGTTTAGGCCTAGATGGATTAAGGATTTTTTGAGTGAGATGAGTAATACTAATAACACCCACATCAAAGCTTAACAAATGTTAAAATATTTAAAATTTTGTATTGTTTGTATTTAAATTTCGTAACCTTGTTTGACTTGTTTCGTCTTTCAAAAGATCTACAGCTGATTAGTGATACCCGTTCAAGATCAGCAAAGCAATTTTATATTTTTATTTGCTATGGTTATTAGCAAAGACCAATCGTCAGATTCCAATCTGACCAATCGTCAGCAAGGTATCGTTAGATTTAATCTATATTCTTTATTCCATGTTTTATATTTTTGTTGCAACTATTATTCTCTATTTGTTTACTTATTAATTAAATAATATTGTGTAACATTTATTTCCACAACTTATTTTTTGTTTTAGTGTTAATTTTTTGAGGATTTAATCTTTTGTGGTTTCAGTTACAATAATGATGTTATATTATGCCAAATTCTAAGATAAGATAAGATCTTTATTTCCATTAGATATTCTTTTGAATACATTGGATATGTCAGGTTACAATATATAATCTATACAATAATAAATTGAACAAAGGGCTCACCCAATAGCTATGTTTGTGGTACCAGTATGTGAGTTTTTTAATATGAGTAGAGTGTATAATTAATTATTTATTCACATCAAGGGCTAACAAATGTTAAATTATTTAAAATAAAGTGTGTGTTTTTATTTTTTTAAAGTAGATTTATATTTATAATTAGATGATTTTAAAAGAGGACGTTTTTAGTTTATTTGTTTTTTGTGATATTTTCAAATAGATTACTCTTTAACTCCACACAACCATATATTTTTGTACAGTTTAGATTAATATGTTTCTTTTATTTTTTACTACTGGTACCTGGTTTGTGATGATGTGATAATGATAATTTTGTTGCTGTGTTCATTCATATTTAACATTTATACATTTTTATTTCAATATATTAATTTTGTATTAAGTATTTTTTTATTTTTAATGATATGTTTGTCATGTCATATCGTCTCTACTTTAATAAACGTGTTTGTTTTTTATGCATTCTTGTCCTAATTTCAAAATCACTTTATGATGTATATGATTTATCTTAAGTATCGAAGTTAAATATGTAAAGCTTTAATCTCACAAATGTTGGCCACTCACCATCTTAACTTGGTAGGTAGGTGGCTTTATCGTTAAGTGGCTTTCGAAAACAATCCTGAGAAAAAATCCGTTCTAATAATGGTAACCGCGTACCATACCGATTTTGTACCGAAAACCGAGGTACAAAAGAATGTACCGTACTGAACCGTACCGACCTTACATTTTCTGTACCGCAGACCCCTACTTACAAATGTAAAATATTATTATTTATTTAAGTAAAATTTAATTACTTAGTTTTTTTTATAACCAAGATACTTATAAGTAGGTAGAGTTGATCACATAATTCAGGTGTTATGACAAAATTATCATAGCTCTAATACAGAATTTGGAGTTGCACAGAATAGTTACTAGTACTTCCCCACAGAATCCGGCCTCAGATCCCAACATCCAAGGAAGTTGAGCCTCTGCTGGAGTTGGACAGGGACGAGCGGAAATTTGACATCTTTCTTACATTCCACCGGTCTAGTCTACTCATCGCTGATCTCCGCATCTTCTTGCCATTCACTATAAACCTTGACCCATACATCAAGAAAGTTATCAAAGGTGAACATAGGTCTTAGCCAAGATGATTGGAGTATAAGAGGTTGGCCATACTGATGACATCACTGCATACCCAGCAGCCACTCCCTCACAGTGTGACATTGTTAGGACATGTAACTTTACTAAGGCCTTTTTCATACAGGATTTAGGATGGTGTGGCTTGGTTGAAATGTGATTTGTTTTTAATTAATATTAGTAAATGCAGTCTTACTATGTAAATGACGTAAGTTTACCATAACAATTAATACTGAAAGCATCCAAATTGTTCATAAATTTAATTTATATTTTTATTATATTTTATCATTTTAATAAGGTAGGGTTGATTTTTTAAAACTAAGAAGACCTATCTAATAATTGAATTAGAATTTAAATTATTCAATGGTCATACCAACAAATAAAATACAATTAATAACAATACAACTGATACCTACAATACAATTAATACAATTAAATAAATCAATTTGTAATTTGTGAGTAGCAGATTGAGGACTGTCACGGATAGGTGATGGGCGAGGGGGGAGAAAGCTAATGATAAAGAGGTTGCCTCAAACGTGCATAACGTCACCCATCCGACCCGGACAGTGCTGCTTTTAATTCACATAGCTGACACCTGTCAAATTTGTTGTTATTGTTGTTTGTTTTGTGTTTGATTTATTAATTTTCTCCCTGGTTTTATTCCTTTTGTTTTATATTCTTTTACTTTTACATTTTTAATTGTCTTTCTTGTTTGATTTTTTTCCTGCTTTATATTCTTTTCTTCTTTCGTTCTTAGTTTTAATTTAACTAGTGTGGTTGACATGCCTGGTGAGCAATGTGCTGTTGCAGTCCCAGTTAAATGTAAACCCTTAAGTTACATAGTGATAGACCTAAAAAGATTATCATCGTTTTCCTGAGGGCGAAAAACTATAGGCCTACAAACATTAGGCTTACTGCTGCAAACGGGCAGATCATTAATTTAATCCTCATACCTCCGTAACTTGTTCTGAATTTGTACTGATGACAATTATGAACGAGATTTGAAAGCTGAACTGTTAAATTTAAATTTAGCCCCAAAGAGGATCCTTCTTAAGCCGGAGCTTTTTCATCTGTCAGCGTATGTTTAAACTTTCAACAACAAGAGCAACAAGAAGAATAACTTGTCATAATTTCAAGCATAGACACTTAAAGCTGTAATGAAAATATGGCAATGTATCAAGTGTGTTAAATAATCACTAGTTGTTAGCCACGGGCTTCACCCCGTTTGACTTCATAAGTATTAATAAAACTATTGATTGGTTAGGTTAAGCTGAAATAAACAAAACAGAATATAGTAATACAAACAAATAATCTCACCTAATTTTAATAAGGTAATAAATTGAAAGAATAACATACAAATGAATACAGCTGAGGTATTTTTAACATTAGGTATATAGAAAGTTCCCTTTGGAAAGCAATTAATAGTTTTGCGCACGGTTTCTCGTCATGACGAACATTTTAAGTATATGGTTTATGGGGGTGTGACTTGTAGTTTTCTCAAAAGTTCATGGGTACTTTTGGCTTTATATATAGATAATACATCATCCAATGCAATAGCTTATCTCAAAGAACAGATTAAAAAGCTAGTCGGATAAGGTGATTTTATATTTAAACAGAGAGCTGTTTCTCATCCAAAGGCAGAAGCGAGACTGTGCAGCGATTAGATCGGCAAGAATAACGCCACACTCCCGCCCTCTAGTGTTTACGTATCCTTTAGTCAGTGTCAAAACGTTTTTATGTTTTGCCTATGTATTTTTCAGATTTCTCAATCTTAATATTTAGTTATGATGCTTACAGTACCTCTTTGCTTGAAAACAAGGTTTGACAGATAGAAATATACCTAGCTAAAGAACCCTCATCTCTAGGACTAAATTTAACAGTTAAGTTTAAAATCACGTTTGTAATCATCGACAGTTAACTGTTTTAAACTAATCACTAATCACAAGTAGTAAATGATTTAGTCTCTCGTTTACAGCAGTGTGCCCATTATTTTCATAGTTCTTTGTCCTTACCTTAGGGAATCTTTGATCAAATATATTAAGCCTGTCACTATGATTGAATATTCAATCATGAACTAGTAGTTCATCAGTTTTTATCTGGCAATTGATACAGATTGCATTAGAACATCACTCACGAGGCATTTCAATCATTTTACTTGACTAAAAGTATCAAATTAAACAAGAAAAGTTTACTTCATTGCACAGAACTTACACAAAAACAAACAACAATAACAATAAATTTGACAGGTGTCAGCTGTGTGAATTAAAAGCAGCACTGTTCGGGTCGGCGTGTGACGTTATACGTGAGTCTGAGACAACCTCTTTTTCAGTAGCCTTGAGTCTGGCCCACCTCTTATACTCCGGGGGAGCGAGCTGGTCTAGTGGTGATACTGCCGCAACCCATAGGTCTAGCCTGAAGTAATGTGAAAAACAATCCTAGGTTCGTGCCTAGCGTCCAAAGACATAAAAAAAACCTCTTATACTCCATACATCTTGGGCCTTAACGTTTCTTGCAGACAACCACACACCGTTTTTGGTGCATGGAACAAATGATCTATTGAAAGATCATTCTGTAACAGTAAAATATAATTTAAAAAGCTCTAGATATAAAATATAAATACTCTTTTCATTTTTATGCCCCCAGAGGCAAAAAATACTATTTCTTAAAATTTGTATAGGCTTATATACACAGGGGAATAATTTAGTCTTAGGACGACTTTATAACTTTAAAACTAAAAAATATATCACAGCCAAATTTGGCATATATAAATTCAAATTTATTTTAAAAATTGAAATCTTACTACACATTGTAGTCTGCTGTAGAACAAAGAATAATATTACATTAAATTTTGCAAGTTTGTTTAAACCTAATTATGATAATTGTTATATAGGTGGTTTCTTATAATATTAATAGAAAATTTTATGGCTGTTAAAGATATTAAATATAGCACTTGATTTTCCAAATTGAATTTCTTCCAAAATTTCTCAACTTGTTGAGGAATTGTTCCTCTTGATCCAATGAGTAGTCCATATACTTCGAATTTTGATATTTTATATTTCTCTGAATAATAGGGGATAGTTTTCTTATAAATATTTACTTTTTCTTCATGGACTTCCTGTGGCTGATTTTCATTTGTCTCAAGACGAACTGTTGGGTCTATAATGAGACCGAAATCTTTCTCCTTGTCTATAACAATGATGTCACTCCGCCTCACAGAGCCCTCTTCTTCTATAGCCGTGACCTCTTAATAGACCTCGTAACTTTTCTTTCTGAATTGATCAGTTATGATTTTTCTGATGGTGTGGTGGCGGGTATTTCGTAGAAGACTACTAAATGGGCACTTTCCAAGGACGTGGGCAAGAGTTTCAAGAATAAATTTCTCAGATACAGGACAATGCCTGCACTGGTTCCCGTCCCTGGATCTCCCATGAAGACTTCTAAGAGGAATAACGTCTCCGACCATTTTCAAGTATTGTTTGAACTCAGCTTCTGTGAGGCCACACCCTCTAGCCAAATTTGTATTGATCTTGTTACATTCTTTGAAAAGAACCACCCCATTCCCTTTGTATGGAAGTTTACACCAATTTTGATACTCTAAGTCTCGTAAGGTTTCTCGCAGTATCTTGGGTTTTGATTCGATAAATTCAATACTTAAATTCAATTTTTCCAGACAAAACCTAATTTCTTCGTCAAATTGACGAATATTAAGTAAGTAGGGGTTTCCCGTTTGTTTTAATACGCGACATATGTTTATATGTTGGATTGATGATTCCCACATTGATTTACATAACCCAATCCCTTTGTTTTTAGTACTTGTATAAAACATAGAATTTGGCATATCATTTGGAAGATCTAAGATTTCCTTTGTTGTTGATCTTATCACTTTATCAACATCGCCAAAGAATTTCATTGTAATTTTCTTAATTGGTGCGGTTTGAAAAGGATATATTAAAGATGGCCAAATATTATGATTCAATACATACATTTTTTGTTCAGACCTTAAAAAAGGAGAACATGTTAATTTTTCAATTTTGTTTATCAATGAACTAATTGTTTTTTCAGAGTCAAATACTATGCTTTCAGAAAAATTTACTCCTAAGTATTTAATTTTTTCATTAAATGTTATAGATTTTATTTCTTTTGAACATACTTGGAAGTTTTCCTCTTGTAATCTACCTTTTTCAATGTTAATAATTTTAGTTTTTGATATATTTATAGTTAATCCAATTTCTCTGAAGAAGTCACAAATCAAATCGAATAATACAAGAGCACTTTCTCTATTCTTACCAATTAAAATGGTATCATCAGCGAATCCTAGAATACTTAGAGAAGGCATGTCCTTGCATAGCTTATACCCTAACTCCTCACTTACGGCATGTTGTGATATTTCAGAGAGGATATGGTCAATACATAGGTTATACAAAGTGGGTGACAATGGAGATCCCTGCATTACACCCCTTTGTATTTTGATGTCCTTTGTTTTCCCTCTATGAGTTTCAACTTTTGTAACATTGCCTATTTGGAGTTTAATTATTTTTTCAATCAGTTTCCTAGGAATAGGTAGCTCCTGCAAGACTGAGGATAAGTAGTTATGGCCGATATTGTCGTACGCTTTCTCAATATCCAGAAACATAATACAGCAGTCGGTTTTCTTTGATTTTGCTGATCTCTATACCTCATTTAGAATACTTGTATTAAGATGGGAACCAGGGGTATTAGAAAAACCTCCTTGAAACTGGTTAAATTGTATACCTATATTCTTTTAGTCTTTTGTCCAATATTTTTTCTAATATCCTCCTTAAAACAGAACATATTGTGATTGGTCTCCAGTTATTAACCTCTTTTTTGTCTCCACCTTTATCAATTAAAATAGTTCGTGCTCTTTGAAATGATGAAGGTATCTGGTTTGTAAGGTGTATTGTGTTATAAATTGAACAGAGGATATTTGCTACTTTCTTAAGGCCTACCGCAAACGAGAGACTTTTTGT